AGGAGGGCACCTTTTGGGATGAGCACTGGGCATTGTATGGAAACAAATTTGACAATAAATTTCATATATTGAGAAAAAAAAGACTATGCATTTTTGCCAGGAATACTACAGATGTTATGCTGTGTTCTTCTCACTGCATCACATCAAGGAGTAAAGGATGTTGCTATGGCTTATTGTGGTCATGTTTACCTTCATCACATGGTTAAGGTGGTGTCTGCAGGGTTTCTCCATGCTGGTGTTACTATTCTCTCCCTTGTGATTAATAAATATATTGAGAAAGATACTTTACAACTGTTCAAATATCCTGTTTCTTCTCAAATATCTACCCGCTAATTTAGCATCCATTGGTGAAACTTGCCTGCAACAATTATTACAGTGGTATTTCAATGGTGGTATCTTAGTTCTTTTATTACCTCTACAGTCATTAATTGCAATTCTTCTCTAAGGAAGAGCTGTCCTTTCTCCCTCATTTATTTATATTAGTATGAATTTATAAATATTTAGGTTATTCTCTGGGTTATAATAAAATATTATCATTATTTGTTTTGTTGTTCAAATTGTTCCAGCTTTACCCATTGGGAATTCTTCTGGGTTGGCGCCTGTGCCCTTTTGACATGTCCTGTTCTTTTTGAACACTTCCTCACTTTCTGTCACTATAAGATACTGCAGTTTCATCCTGTGTTTTCCTCACCCCAGCCCTGGAATCAACTGCTTCTATAAGGAGTCTTGCTTTGCTTTATTACAGAATGAGCAGTTACAATACAGAAGGCACTGGTGCTCATTGTCACCGTGGTGCCACTGCTTCTAGGCCCTCTCATTGGATAGAACTTGGAAATACTCATGTGTAACCATGCATGTGCACACACACACACACACACACCTATACTTGTTTCTATATTTACCTTAAATGATTTTTATATCAAATCTCTGAGTTAAAGTGAAGCTTCCATAGGTGAGCCATATTTATCCCATGGCTAGCCTCACCTGTCCAGAAACCCCGCTCTACCCTAATTTGTGCAGCAAAGATTAGAGTATGAGAAGGCACACATATCATTAATTGTGCTGTACCCTATGGCTGCAATTGAGAGGCCAGACAACCCTAACTTTTACCCTGGACCATAGCACACCTATGGTATCAGAAGGCAAAGGAATCAGTCAACAAATAATGTCTGCTTGCATCAAATATGTCTATGTTAAACTTCTCTTTCTGGCAAATATGGAGTTACAGTTCACAGATTTACCCTCCCACCTAAAACAGCTAAAACCAACTAAACAAATTAAACATTTTAGATGACTAAAATACCTGGACTACTTATGACAGCCATTTTCAATACAATGAACATTATGCAGTGAAGAACAGTGATCCCTGAGAGAGGAGATTTTAAATATGTCATGATTTAATATAAACTTATCTCTCATGGTAGTCATAAGAAAAAGGAACTATTTTTTGTATAGTAAACACAGAAGCAATGTCTACAGATAATATTAAACATATGACCAAATTTTATTTCTAAGTAGCTAACTGACCCATTATATTCGCTAGCCATCTTGCTTCTGGTTTTTAGACTACAGATCATTAAAATAAGACTACAATTTAGTCCCAATTCCCCAAATATATAATGTGAGATATTACAGAAAGGATATGGATTATTGAAAGGAACGGATGCATAGTATCTTGGTCCTCTTGCTTCTGTAACTCCCTTGGAAAGGAGGCAAACAGAGGACAACAGAGCTTAGTAAAGAAAAAGCTGAAGGCAATTTCTGCTGGAAGCCTTACAGATTGGTTCACTATGAGGTGCAGCATTAAGAGAAAGAATGGGTTATCTAGTATTTTTAAAACATCATATGTTTAGGGGCGCCTGGGTGGCTCAGTTGGCTAAGCATCAACTCTTGGTTTTGGCTTAGGTCATGATCTCATGGTTTGTGAGTTCGAGCCTGGTATCGGGCTCTGCACTGACAGCTTGGAGCCTGCTTAGGATTCTCTCTCTCTTCCTCTCTCTCTGCCCCTCACCTGCATGTGTGCTCTCTCTCCAAAAACAAATAAATTTAATAAAAAAATTAAACAAAAACGTATGTTTAAAATTAATTCTAAAATGAGTACTTACAGCAGTTTTATATGCAGCTTCAATGTAAAATACAAGGTTCTGTATGAAATTGACTTCATCTAGGCTGTGGATAATATGAAGTCCTGAGGAAAAAGAAAGTAAGGATATAGAGCTGGTTAATTATCACTATAGGCTTATAGGCTGCCACAGTAACTGACTGATCCCATTACTCTCAAGTAATCTTATTCCTGCTTTTGGAACAGTGAGGCACTTTAATTCCTAAACCATAAAAACAACACCACAAATCAGACCTAGGCTAGTCTTTGACTAAGTGAGATATCAGCGTATTATAACATGGAAGAATTTGAACTGTTATTTGTAGGTTTGGATATAAAGTCTCAGATTCCTAATTCTATAGGTCATTAATTTATAATATGCTTTAAGGTATCAGGAAAAAAAATATTTCAAAAAGAGTTAGAGGGAGTCTAAATACTAAGCAAGAAACAAAGATTATGATTTCAAGGAAACCTTAATACTATATTTTTTAGAGTACAAAATGATGATTATTCTAAGTATAAACAATACAAAGATAGTTATAGCTAACAAATTGCAGTGTTTTGCATGAATTATCCTTTTAATTTTCACATCAACCCTAAGAGGTGGGTACCTCAATTTTCTCCATGAGGCTTAGAGAGATTAACTATTTTCCTCAGACCATTTTTAAATTTTTTTTAACTTTTATTTATTTATGAGAGACAGAGAGAGACAGAGCATGAATGGGGGAGGAGCAGAGAGAGAGGGAGACACAGAATCTGAAGCAGGTTCCAGGCTCTGAGCTGTCAGCACAGAACCTGACACAGGGCTTGAACTCATGAACTGCAAGATCATGACCTGAGCCAAAGTTAGACACCTGACTGAGCCACCCAGGCACCCCTGCCTCAGATGATTTAACTAATAAATAGTGGGGCCAGGACCCAACTATCAGCTTCACAGTCTGAGTTCCTAACGAAGATGCTATGCTGCTTCTTGATATATACAGTATGATCCGTTTTTCTTGAAAAACTAATTCCTTTCCCCTCTCCTGCTCCCCCAACCCCCATAAAGAAATACCAGTAGGCATAGAGCAAAAGTCTTTCTCCTACCCAGAATCACATCACTCCCACCCTGCCAAATCTCCTCTCTGGAAGAAACTAGTCTTAGCAGTTTCCTCTGTAGACTTTCAGAGAAATGTTATATATATATAACAATTATCAAAGAGTAGTATGCTATAATGTACCTTGCTTTTTTCACATATATGTTGGAAATAATTTTAAGTATATCTGAGTTATTTTTTAATGGTTATGCAGCATTCCACTAAATGGCTATTCATATAACCAGTTCCCTACTGAAAACATTTAGGTTGCACCTAATCCTTCATCACTATAATCAATGCTATAATGAATATGTGTGTGTGTGTGTATGTATATACATGTACCAGTATGTCACATGTACCAGGTTGTGCACATGCACCAGTATGTCAAGGTAAATTCTTTTCTTTCCTAAGGTAAATTCTTGGAAGGATTGCTAAGTCACAGATTTATGCATATTATTTTTCCCAATATTGTATTATGAACAGTTTCAAACAAACAGAAAAAAGGACAGAATTTTACAGTGGACATCTATATGCACATCATCTGGATTCATGCATTAACATTTTACTGTACTTTTCTATCATATATGTATCCATCCATCAATCCATCCTTTTTGATACATATTCAAAGTATGTTTCTGGTACTTCTACAATTTCATTTTTCGCATTTAAATGTTTGATCTATGGACAGATGTTTCAAATGAGAACTCTGTAGCTTCAGAACCCAAAAGGACTATATAATTCATATCCTCAGACTGCAAACTCTTCCTGATGCATGGCTCTGTCAAAACTAGCAACCACAGCAGTGGGCAGCAGCGGCAGCCAGGTCTTTCTTGTAGCAGCAATGACTTCAACCTCTTGGGTAGAAAGGGAAAAAAAAAGAGATAGTAATATTGGACATCAGCTTCACAGCCTTATCTTGTCTCCTATGTGTGCCAGAGTGCTTGCACAGAGATTGGGAGAAAGTAGAGGGTGTGAAACTGGTTTTGTCTATTTCTCAGACTGGTGACACAGCTAACAAATAACTATTTGATAGAACTGCCCCATTTCTATCACCTGTCCCTTTGCTCATGATATTGTTTAAATGGCCTTCTCCACATCCTGAAATCTGAACTGTTCTTTCAAGGCCCAGCTCAAGTTTTATCTCCTCTGTGATGCTGCCATTGATTCCTCTCTTCTATGTTTCAAAGAATTTTATTTTCCTTGCGCTTATGAATTTTTTACTTTGCACTATAAATAAATCTGTACCTAAATTTGAAGGAAGGAGCCATTTCTTATTTATATTTATAGTCCTTAAAATGTCTCACATAGTATTGTGCATGGTATTAAATAATATTTAACAGTAGATAATAATTCAATAATTATTTATTGAATGATCTTAAACAATCCTGTTAACCACAGGAGAGGGACCTGTCTTTTGAGGCAAGACCATACATTTCAGGACCTCTGCATCCTGTCCCCTCTGTGGAGCCAAAACATTGCTTGCAGAACAGAGGAGAGGGTACACAGAGATGAAATGAGGTATGGTTGGGTAAGGCCAAAGATGGCAGTGCTATTTAAAACACACTAAAGAGGGGGCACCTGGGTGGCTCAGTTGGTTAAGCATCTGACTTCTGCTCAGGTCATGATCTCACTGCGTAGGGTTCTGCACTGACAGCTCAGAGCCTGGAGCCTGCTTTGGATTCTGTGTCTCCTTCTCTCTCTACCCTTCCCCCATTCACACTCTGTCTCTTTCTCAAAAATAAATAATAAACATTTAAAACTAAATAAACAAACAAATAAATATATAAAATGTCACTGATAGAAACATTTCAGCGAAAATAGCTACATGATCAAAAATCAACATGTAATTAGCAAACACACTTATAAAAAAATAAATGGAACACACTAAAGGGGAGTCTGGGTAGCTCAATCGATTAAGCGTCCAACTTCAACTCAGGTCATGATCTCACTGGTCGTGGGTTCGGGCCCCACATCAGGCTCTGTGCAGATGGCTCAGACCCTAGAGCCTGCTTCAGATTCTGTCTCTCCCTCTCCCTCTCTCTCTCTGCCACTCTCCCACTTGTGCTCTCTCTTTCAAAAATAAACAAACATTAAAAACCCACTAAAACATGCAGGGCTCCGGAAATGAGGCCACCTTAGTGGTCTACTCCACTTAGATTGACTTGCACTTACTTAACGATAAGCCTCTCTCCCTCATTTTTAAAAATGTTATTGAGATATAATTCACATACCATGCAATTCACCCATTTCAAGTATATAATTCAATGGTTTTTAGGGTATGCAGTGTTCTGCAACGGTGGCCACAATCAATTTTGGAATATTTCATCACCCCCAAAAGAAACCCTATACCCATTAGAGTCATTCCGCATTTCAAGACTTGTTCCCCCTCTACCTCCACCTAAGCAATTGCTAATCTACTTTATGTCTCCACAGCACTGCCTTACCCAATGTTCATATTCATGTCTGAGTTCTTTCACTTAGCAGAATGTTTTCAACGTTCATCTGTATTGTAACATGTATCACTGTTTCCTTTCTTTTTGTTGCTAAAACAATATTCCATTCTGTGGATGTATCACATTTACCCAATTATCAGTTGATGGACATTTAGGTTGTTTCCAGTTTAAAAAAAATTTTTTTTCAACTTTTATTTATTTTTTTGGGGACAGAGAGAGACAGAGCATGAACGGGGGAGGGGCAGAGAGAGGGAGACACAGAATCGGAAACAGGCTCCAGGCTCTGAGCCATCAGCCCAGAGCCTGACGCGGGGCTCGAACTCACGGACCGCAGGATCGTGACCTGGCTGAAGTCGGACGCTCAACCCACTGCGCCACCCAGGCGCCCCATGTTTCCAGTTTTTAAAAAAAATTTTTTTTAATGTTTATTTGAGAGAGAGAGAGGGAGCAGGGGAGGAGCAGAGAGAGGGAGACACAGAATCCAAAGCAGGCTTGAGGCTTTGAGTTGTCAGCACAAAGCCCAACACGGGGCTCGAACCCACAAACCATGAGATCCTGACCTGAGCTGAAGTTGGACGCTTAACTGACTGAGCCACCCAGGTGCCCCACATGTCTTCATTTCTTTTGGGCATACACCTAGGAGTGAAATTGCTAGATCATATGGTAATTCTGCTTAACTTTTGAGAACTGTCAGACTGTTTTCCAAAGTGGCTGTATCATTTTACATTCCCACTGACAATGTATGAGGGTTCCAATTTCTCTAGTTCCTCAGGAACACTTGTTATTTTCTGTACTTTTGATTACAGCCATCATAGTGGGTGTGACATGCTATCTCATTACTTGGATCTGCAAGTGCCTAGGAATAATATTCAGCATTGTTTTGTGTACTTATTAGCCATTTAAATATTTTCTTTGGAGTAATGTCGATTCATATTTTTTGCCTAGTTTAAATTAGGTTATCTTTTTATTACTGAGTTGTAGATTTCTTAATATATAATACGAGTCCCTTATCAGATATGTGATTTGTAAATATTCTCTATCATATTGTGGTTTTAAATTTTTTGTTTTATTTATTTTTGAGAGCAAGAGAGACAGAGCATGAGCGGGGGAGGGGCAAGGAGAGAGGGAGACACAGAATCCAAAACAGGCTCCAAGCTCTGAGCTGTCAGTACAGAGCCCGACATGGGGCTTGAACTCACAGACTGTGAGATCATGACCTGAGCTGAAGTGGGATGCTTAACCAACTGAGCCACCCAGGTGTCCCATGGGTTGTTTTTTCACTTTCTTGAAGAGATCCTTTGAAGCACAAATGTTACTAATTTGATAACTTCCAATTTATGTTTTCTTTAGTTGCTTATGCTTTTGGTGTCACATCTAAGAGGGCTTTGTCTAATCCAAGATCAGGAAGACTTACTCCCATACTTTCCTTAAGTGCTTGTTATGAACCCAGTTGTGTCACCCTGAAACTCCTATGTTGAAGCCCTAAACCCCAATGTGACTGTTTTTGGGGTTAAGACTTTTAAGGAAACAATTAGGTTTAAATGAGGTCACAGGGTGG